TGCTAGTGCCACGGAGGATATAGAGATGAATATGCAGTAGTAATAATTAGAGGCATCAAAGAATTCTGGATTGACTGTGTTCAAGTCACAGCTCTGCAGCTGTAGTGCTTTAGGAACCTTGGAGAAGTCCCTTCCTCACACACTAGGCTTCAGTTTCTCTTCTGTATAGTGATGAGATTGGGTTAGGCCATGTCAGAGTTCCTTCCAGCTGTGTGAAATTCTTCGATTCCCAGTCAAGATAACTTGTTTACAATCATTTTTGCACCCCACCCCAGGGTCCACTTGCTTCATGAACCTTGTTCCCTCACGCCCCCCCCCATGACCCCTGACACACTTTTAATAATCCACACTCATTTCCCTTGATCAGGCCCTGTCAGTTATGTTTACAAAGCAGGAAAGCAGTGTTCTTCAATTCAAGACCTTGATGTCATAAGAAACCTGGGGTCCAGTTTGACTCTGGCCCTTTGGCTATGGGACCTTATGTGTATCCGTTAGCATGTCTGAGCTCTCAGTCTTCACATCTGTTAAGGGAGGATAATAGTAGTGTCTGAGATAATGCATGTTAAGCACTTGGCACCATGCCTGACACATGAGGGGCTCTTAAGTGTAAGCTGTTGTTATTACTGAGAAGCTCCTATGGGTCATACTCTGTCCTGGGGGCTAGGGATTCAACAGTGAACACATGGCCCATACCTTGCATTGTCTTTCTACCTCTGACCTCTTGAAATCTTTACCCTCTACTCATCTCTGCTGTGACCTCCCACTTCTCTGGTTTTTTATCCTGATGTCTCCTTAATAATGGTTGGCACTTACTGAACGTCTAATGTGTGCCAAGCTTTGTATATATAAAGTTTACCCTCTCAATAACCCCAAGAGGTAATTATTATTATATCCACCACCACGTCCCCTGTCTCATTTTGTTTGTTTGTTTGTTTTTAAATAGATGAAGAACATGAAACATAGCTTCTAAGAGCAGAGCTAGGATTTCAACCCACAGTCTTCAAATCCTGTGCTCTTTATTACCTTGTTATATTGCCTCTCTTGTCCCCCAAACTACCTGGTTTTCCATGTCATTCTTGGCCCCTTATTCCTTATTTTCTAGTACTTCCTAAGCCCAACGTCAATTCACCCCATGAGCCTCAGGGAATTTATTACCCTTTGCCCATGGCTTGGTGACTTCCTCATCCCATTGTTCATGACTTTTGGCCCCATATTCCCTGAGACTCCTGCACATTTGTACCTTAGTACCTCTCTTTATCCTTTGTTCAGATAGCCTCACATCCCATGAGTCCTTGGAGCTCCTGTGATCTCACTCACCCTGGGGTGTTTTTCACCTCACTGACATTTTACTCCTCATGCATTCATCCTGTTAAGTCCCTTACCTTCAGGAGTCCCTATACTCCAAAACCTTCTAGTCTGTTATTATTTCACTCTTATGATCCCTTCCTATTTTCAGTCTCTTCTCAGTGCTCTAGCTCTCCCCATCCCCTTCTGCTCTCCTCACCCACATCCTGTTACCTGAAACCTTCATCTGAATCACGCTTCATGTAGTGACCTCTTGATGTGCACAGCTTCAGTGATAGGAGCTTTTTCTGTCCCCACATGAACCCATCCTTCATAATCTATATACCCTCCCATTTCAGGATCCCTACTTTTCACACCCCTTTTCCAATTTCGGGTGAGATCTTACCTCTCTGATTCACAGATCTCATGGCATCTTCATAATTTTCTTCAGTGATTTCCTTTTCAAACCAGAATTGTCTTTCACCCTTTCCCCCTCCCTCTCTTTCACAAAAGGAGTCCTCGTGGTGCAGTAGTGAAAGAGCTCGCTGCTAATCCAAAGGTCAGAGGTTCGAAACCACCACTACTCCAGGGAGAAAGATGTGGCAGTTGGCTTCCATAAAGATTCACATCTTGAGTTGAAATCAACTCAGTGGTGGTGGGTTTGGCTTTAGTCTTTCCTGCATTTCCTTCTCTTGGCCAAAACCACCCTCACCTCACCAATCTTGATAACAAATTGATTCCCATATATACCTCCCTCCCACCTCAGCTCTGCCCTTGCTCCCTCCACTCTTCTTGTGCATCTAACTCTAGGGCCAAGTGAATGACCCTCTCATTTCTCAGGCCTCCTTCCTTTACACACAGCACTGTCCAGCCAAACATCATCAACCTCCTTGGTTTATCCGAAGAACTGCACTTTTCTTTGGGAACTTCCTATGGCTTCTCAGTCCTTTAGGTAGCAAGAAAGGAAACCTTGGAAATTCTTCAGGATTGATCTAGTTATGTCTCCATGAGGCACTCCTAGGGGCCTATCCTGTTTATTAAGCAGCTTGCTGTATATGCCTCCAGGCTAGAATGCTTTGAGTGTCTGCCTCTGCACTCACAGGATTAGCCTCATTGTTTTCCAAGTCCTGGGAGGACTTGCCAGTCCCCTTCTACAGGAAGACTGGAGGGTGAATAGCAAAATGTGACTGTAAAGATCCACGGTCAGCAAATCCCAGGTCTCCTATAATGTTGGACTTATTGGCTGTGCAGCAATAAGTACAGCAGTCTTATGGAACAGGTAAAATCCTGGCGTCTATAAATTCTTTGGTGGATTTAAAAAAGGAACCTTTGCCCCAGGCACGTTTAATCTTTCTTAGAGCACAGAACATATTTTGCCTTGTGTCTTAAGTTATCTGCCTGCTTTTCTCACCCCTCTTCCCCCACTATGACTTCCTTTAGAACAAAGGCTGTGTTTTATTTATCTTAATCCTGTCCCTCCTAGTTAGCAACCAGTCCAAACCAAACCCATTGCAGTCAGTCTGTTGCAACTCATAGTGACCCTTAGGACAGAGTAGAACTGCCCCATAGGGTTTCCAAGGAACAGCTGGTGGATTTGAACTGCTGACCTTTTGGTTAGCAGCTGAGCTCTTAACCACTACACCAGCAGGGCTCCATGTTATTCAGTATACCAAAACAAAGCAAAACCTGTTGCCGTTGAGTCGATTCCGACTCATAGCGACCCTATAGGACAAAGTAGAACTACCCTATAGAGTTTCCAAGGAGTGCCTGGTGGATTCGAATTGCTGACCTTTTGGTTAGCAGCGGTAGCACTTAAACACTACGCCACCAGAGTTTCCATTATTCAGTATAGCAGATCTTAAATGTAATTAATCAAATGTTAGCCTTTTGGGTTTTAATTTATATTTAGCAGGTAGTCAGTGTGAAGCCCTGGTGGCGTAGTGGTTTAGAGCTCAGCTGCTAACCAGAAGGTCGGCAGTTCAAATCCACCAGCCACTCCTTGGAAACCCTATGGGGTGGGTCTACTCTGTCCTGTAGGGTCTCCATGAGTCGGTCCAACTCAACGGCATCTAACAACAACAACAGGTGGTCAGTAAATACTTATTGGATTGAATGAACGAACTCATTCTGCAGCAGGTACAACCAAGTAAAAATAGCTCATGTGTCTGCATTCATTTTTTAGCCACAATGTCCTGTCGTTTCCAAAGCCTTTCCCAACGTAATAATAGGTAAAATCCCTTGATTTAAACAGGCTGGAGTTTAGACATTTCCTTTTTAGCCATTCCTCAGGTAGGGGAGTGGATGCTAAGTGCTGTTTTTACTGTATTTCTGGTACTACTAGAGAGATTGGTTGACACATTTGGTAGAATATGTGGTATCAAGGCCAGGGTCTGTCTTATATAGACCAGTTCACAAGAAAGCAGATGAAGTGTTTATTTTATGGAAGTTGCAGAGAGAATCAGGGAATAGAGGGAACAAAATTGGCAAAATGTTGGTAATTATTTAAATTGGGTAATGAGTTCATGGGGTTCATTATACTACTGTTTATACTTTTGTATATGTTTGAAAATATGTATAATAGAAAGTTAAGTAATTTTTTAAAAAGCAGCTAGATGAACAAGTGTAGGTTTATTACTGCTCCTTGGGAAACACCTCAAAGCAAATGAGCTACTGTTACTTAGACAGTGCTGTTAGGTAGGTTAAGTTATTTAGTGCTAACCTGTCTCTGGCCTCAGATCATCCTGAGATAACCAGGATGCTGAATACAAAAATTGACACCCTGTGGAATTCTGTCCCTTTCCTGCTTCTCAGCCAGGTGGTTTCTGGTGGTAGAGGGTTGGACTGGACCTGAGAAGAACGTGAGGCAGTGAGATGGGGGCCAGGGCTGGAGAGAGACCAGGGCTCAGCTAGGGTCCTCCTCTTCTGCCCTAAAGCCTCCAGATTACTGGGAGATCCTAATGTGGAGACATTCATTCATCCATTCCACAAATGTTTGGTGTCTGCTACATGCCAGGTACTGTTTTAGGCTCTGGGGATACAGCAGTGAACAAAGTTCCAGGACTTAAGGAACTTACCTGTTGGGAGTTGGGTGAGGGAGAAACAGATAATAAACAAACAAATATATGTTGAGAAAAATAAAGCAAAGAAGGGAGATATTGAGAATGCCAGAAGTCAGGGTGTTGTAATTTTAAATAGGGTGGTTAAAGAAAGTGTCACTGAAAAGACAACATTTGAGGGATGAGCCAGTTTATTCCAGACAGAGGGAATAGCAAGTACAAAGGCCCTGAGGCAGGAGTGTGCCTGAGAAACATGGAGGAAGCTAGCCAGTATGGCTGCAGTAGAGTGAGAAAAGGGAAACAGCAGGAGAATTGGGGAGTAGGGGCACTGGGGACAGATCATGTTGGGCCTTATAAGCCATTGACCAGACGCAGAGCATATGATGATGGAGAAGATGCATATGTGCTCTTGTGGATTGATATAGCGTCCCTACTAAGTGCAGAGGGAACAAGGGGACTGAAGTCGACGATCTGGGGTGACATTAGCCAGGGAAAGCTTGTTCTTGACCTGAGTCTGACAGGAAACAGTGAACATGGATGATAGTGATGAGACCAGATAGTATTCCAGGTGAAGAAAAAATGGTTAGCTTAGCTTAGCTGAATCTGGAAGAAGAGCTGGAGTGATGTGATAGGGTGGGGAAGGGGTGGGGTGGGCAGGCCTCAGTTTTTTCCCTACTACACTCTTTCACTCAACATTTACTCATTCACTCCTCATTTTCTGCTAGAAACTTAAGGAGTTTATAGTTCTGTAGTCGATGAAGGGCTTCAAATCTGATCTTAGGAGTTTCAATTACATCTAATTCACAATAAGTGGTCCTGACTCAGGATTCAAATTTGAGCTAAAGAGCTCAGTTAGCTATGTGACCTAATGGCATTATCTATTTAGTTTCTGTGGGCACATTAGGTGCTAATCAAGCTGAAAGGCATCCTCTTCAGAAACTTAAATTATAATCAGTATAACAGAAAGTAGGAGTGTATTGTTTTCCCCCAAAAGAGTCAAGTGTTAAGGAAAACTTACATAGAACCATAATCCCTTAACTGCATCTGGAAGCTCAGTCCCTCTGCTAGGTTTATCCTTGTTTCGCTTAAGTGTTGATGTTTATATTGTGAAGAGAGTCTCTTTGACCAGCTAAATAAGAATACAAAATATAGTCCCATCCTAATTGGCAGGTCACCTGCAAAACAAGTTTAGAATGGACGTGTAATCAGCATCTCTCACTTCATAGAATGGGGAAATTTTATCCTGGTAAATGAAAAAACAAAAACTGAGATACAAATCCAAGTGTAACTAAAGCCATTGCCTTTAATGGGTGGCCTTACCCTGCTTCAGATGCTGTTTCCTGAACCTTGGAATACCTCTTGCCCTGGCACTGTTAATCAAATTATAGAAATGTGAGCGTCCATGTGAGGGTCTGACAAATCCTGTGCAGTCATCTTTGTTTTGTTGGTAGAAATACAGGCCCTACTCAGGCTCCTCACTTAATAGTTTGGAATTAGAAAGGTCAAGCTCTATTGTTGGATGGTCATCCAAAGCCTCACAGCATGTTACACTATCACCAGCTGGAAGTCAGAGAGCTTCTTCTAGTAGCTCTGGGTTAACACTCACCCAGAGCTTGCTCTCCACTAAATGGTGCATCTCTGAGAAGCCCAGATATAACTTGTTAGCTTGGTCCTATTTCTCACTGCATAACCATTGAAGAAATAACTGTACATTTGTTGGAAGCACCAGACCCATGCAGTTAAGATAACAGTATGTCTGGTTAGCATGAAAGTACCACAATCTATTTAACAAGCCCTGTATTGATAGATATTTATGTTGTTTCTAATTTTTTGCTGTTACATACAGGTATGCCTTGAATAACGGTGGATATGTGCCATTTTACACACATGTGCATCTACCTGTAGACTAGACATGAAATTGCTGGGTCAGACGGTATGTCCATTTGTAATTTTAATCAGCATTGCCAAATTGCTCTCCATAGAGGTTATACCAGTTTATACTCTCACCAGTAATGTAAGACTGTTTCTCAACCATATTGCTTTGAGTTAACCCTTTGAAGACCCAGCTATTTTCTGCTTTGAATTTTTTGTTGATACCAGGTGTTTTCATTAATGGAAGCATGGTGAATCATTTTTCTTTTCTTGCCCCCTCCCACAGGCCTACCCTTAGAGTTCACAACATACGTTGCCCCACTAGCTGTACCCCAGAGTCCCCCTAGAGTCCACTGGTACATATGTGCACCAAAATCTTATTCCAAAATGTCTATTTTTCCTACAAAAAATGCACACACCTCATACAGCACCCCATAGAAACAGTAATTTGCAGCACATGCCTGTTTTTTTTTCAGTTTCAGACAGTCATAAAGGCCCCTGTCTTGTGGCAGCGTGCATTCACTCGGAAAGTGGCTTCCCAGTAAACCCCAGAGGCTGAAAAAGTAAGTGGTTGCTACATGTACTGCCAGTTACGAATTAAGAATATACAGATTCCCTAGAAATTTTAGGGTACTGAATCATGGAGTCCTTGATGACGCGCTGTTCTACAAGAGACACAAAGATATCACACACAAGAGTATCACATTTTATAGATATATGCACACCCATGTTCATTGCAGCACTGTTCACAATAGCAAAAAGATGGAAACAACCTAGATGCCCATCAGCAGACGAATGGGTAAACAAATTATGGTATATCCACACAATGGAATACTACGCAACAATAAAGAACAATGATGAAGCCGTGAAACATCTTATAACGTGGAGGAAGCTGGAGGGCATTATGCTGAGTGAATTCAGTCAGTCACAGAAGGACAAATATTGTATAAGACCCCTATTACAAGAACTCAAGAAAAGGTTTAAACACAGAAGAAAACATTCTTTGATGGTTACAAGGGTAGGGAGGGAGGGTGAGGATTATTTACTAACTAGATAGTAGATAAGAATTCTCTTAGGTGAAGGGAAGGACAGCACACACTACAGGGGAAGTCAGCACAACTTGACTAAATCAAAGCTAAGAACTTTCCTGAATACAGTCAAACACTTTGAGAGATGGAGTAGCAGGGATGGGGTCTGGGGACCATGCTTTCAGGGGACATTTAGGTCAACTGGCATAACAAAGCTTATTAAGAAAATGTTCTGCATCCTACTTTGGTGAGTGGCGTTTTAAAAGCTTACAAGTGGCTGTCTAAGATGAATCAGTTGGTCCCAACCACCTGGAGTAAAGGAGAATGAAGAACGCCAAAGACACAAGGAAAGTATTAGCCCAAGAGACAGAAAGGGCCACATAAACCAGAGACTTCATCAGGCTGAGACCAGAAGAACTAGATGGTGCCTGGCTACCACCAATGACCACCCTGACAGGGAGCACAACATTGAGTCTCTGATGGAGCAGTGCAGAACTCAAATTCTGGTAAGAAGACCAGACTTAATGGTCTGGCTGAGACTGGAGGAACACCGGAAAGCATGGCCCCTGGGTTCTCTGTCAGCCCAGAACTAAAACAATTTCTGAGACCAACTCTTCAGACAGGGATTGGACTGGACTGTGGGATATAAAGTGACACTTGTGAGGAGTGTGCCTCTTAGCTCAAGTAGATTCAAGAGACTAAACGGGCAGCCTTCTGTCTGGAGGTGAGATGGGAAGGCAGAGAGGGTTAGGAGCTGATTGAATGGACATGGGGAATCGGGTGGAAAGGAGGAGTGTGCTGTCGGAATATGGGGAGAGCAGTTAGGGTCACCTAACTGTATAAATTTTTGTATGGGAGACTGACTTGAAATGTAAACTTCATTTAAATTACAACAATTAAAGAAAATTAAAAAAAAACAATTACCAGATAAAAACAAGAATATCACATTTTAAAAATATATCCAAAAGAGGTAACTGAACCTATAGCTAGAGATGGTTATGAGAGAAAAAAAGGAGAAAAACTCCAAAAGGGAAAAGTTCTGGACCTTAATTATACTGGTGTGAATTATAGGAAGGCTGTGGGAATAATAAAGGAAAACCCAGGGAGGAAGGGGCTGGCAACCACGTGAGCAGGTTGTTATCTACTGTAGAACTGCCTCTCGGTTCGATGCAATTTTTTTTTTAAAGCGATATTTTTTTTAATTATATTCTTTCGTTTTAGCACAACTGTTCATTTCTTTTTGGTCTCTTCTGACCTTGTCTCCCTTAGAGTTGAGATTTCTGTGAGTTGGAATTGAATGAATGTTCAACTTTACTTTTTTTTTTCCTAACAAATTAGCATTAATTTGTTAACCCTCCTCCATTAATCCAAGTTGTCTTTATGGTTCTCGTCTAAAACGTTTAAGCTAGCATCCTTGTGGGAGTAGTTCTTGTTTTCTGGACATGGTTTTTGTGGGATGGATTAGGAGGGATGAGGTTATTAGATCCCAGGCCCTGAGCCTTTCCCAGTGGGATTAGGCATCGATGGATTTTTCTCCAGAGGACCTGGAGCAGCCTCCCGTGCCAGTAACAGTGCAGGCCTGGGCCCCTCTCCCGGCCTTGTCAGCATTGACTGTTGGATTTTCTGCTTAGTATGATATAATACAACATGATCATTCTTGTTCTTTAATTACTAGTGAGAGTGAAGTGGAGCCTTTTTTACATTGTTTGTTTACTGTGAGGGTTTTTGTTTGTGTGAATTCATATTATAGCCTTTATTCATTTGTCCAGTGGGAATTTGTTACTGTTCTTATGTGTTTGTATGTTTTCAATGTTGTATTTTATGTCTTATGTCCTTCAATATTTTCCCCTACTGTTGATCTTTTTTTTTTTTTAAACCAACTCTTCTTTTTATTTGGTTTTCTTTTGCTTCAAAAATCCAAAATTAGCTTCTTTTCTTAGTTGGGATCTAGATGTCGTTCCATTTTGATAAATTGATAAAATATAAATTTAAGCTTTTTGTCCCAGAGTGATGTTTTTAAATAACATGTGACTATGATAATCCGGAGTCCTGGTGGCTTAATGGTTAAAAGCTTGGCTGCTAACAAGGTCAGCAGTTTGAATCACCAGCCGCTCCTTGGAAACCCTATGGGGCAGTTTTACTCTGCCCTATAGGGTCGCTATGAATTAGAATCAACTTGACAGCAACGGGTTTGGTGTGTTTTTTTTTGGTGTGATAACTCAGTCATTCCTTGATGCTAATAGCATGTTTAATTTTCAAATGGCCATTTTCAAGCCAGTGGTGACCCCAAGCTGAATTCCAGAAACAATTCAGACATAACTTCATCATATCTGTGCTGATTTGCTTGTAGTATAAAAGCTTATCCTTGGAATACTTGTTGCCTTCCAGTTGATTCTGACTCATAACGACCCTATAGGGCAGAGTAGTACTGTCCCATAGGGTTTCCAAGGAGTAGCTGGTGGATTCAAACCGCCAACCTTTTGGTTAGAGTCTGATCTTTTTTAACCACTGTGCCACCAGGGCCCCATTATCCTTGGGATAATCCTTCCAGAATGTCTGTATTCTGGACTTTTCTTTTTCATGGACTAAGGGTGGATTTGAAACTCAACCATGATTACTGTATTAGGTGTTTACAAACTAAGATGTTACAATTCCCTCAACTGTGTGGCTGGAAATTAGATTTTTTTTTTTTTTTTAATGAATTCTGGCTTGCATTTTCAGTGCCCTTTTGGAGTTGGAAATAATCCACTTTGCTTAATTGTTCTTTTTTCTGTGACTAATTCATATCTAAAAAATTGCAGTAGCCAAATGGAAACCGTACTAAAAGAGTGATTTGGGTTTTTAAAATCAGTGTGCCTTTTACAAATAGATGTTTAACTGACGTTTTAAATTTGTGTTATGTTAATGCAGGTTTCTGCTATTAATTTTCTGTTTCTCGTTAGTGTTTAGAAACCCACAGAACAAAGCCTTTTTCACTAGGTTTTTGTGTGTGCATTGAAGTCTCTTTCCATAAAAACAAATAATCATTTTCACTGCAGCTCTTCCAAATCTGGTTCTAATTTGTTTGCCACTTGTCTCCCTAGCCTTCGTCCCTCCCAGCCTAACGCTTCTTTGTCTTCTATGAGATGTTTTCTGTGTTTCCAAATGAGGAATTTTCTGAGTGAAAATTAAATCATAATTTTTTTTTTTTTTCCTGGTCAAAGCTGAGCCTTCTTCTCTTCCAAGCAAATGTTTTTCTTTTGGCTTCTAAATACACTTGCCCTCTGGGCTGAGTGAGGCAGAGTACAGAAAGCTTGTTCTAAGTGTCCAGGGAGTTCTGGTTGATGAAGGATAATGGAGTAGTGAGCAGGTGCCTGTAGTCAGGGCACAGCCCAATTTAGGGGTGGATGAGATTAGATCTCAACCGTGACAAGGTAGAGAAACACAAATACCGTGGCTACTCTTTAGTTTCCTGTCTTTCACATTCCTTGTTCTTCTGCTTTGAGGAGGCAGTTTAAGTACATCTTGTTTCGTGGAGAAACCTAAAGATCTAAAATATCTAAAGTTTTTCTAAATGTTATTCCCCCAATAATTATAATTTATGTTTTTTCCATAACGCAGAAATTATCGAACAATGTCATTAATATCATGCAAGTAAAATTTTTTTTTATTGTATTTTAGATGAAGGTTTACAGAACAAATAGTTTCTCATTAAACAGTACACATGTTGTATGACATTAGTTAACAAACCTACGACATGTCAACACTCCCTTCTTGACCTTGGGTTCTCTATTACCAGCATTCCTGTCCCCTCCTGCCGTCTAGTCCTTGTCCCTGGGCTGTTGTGCCCCTTTAGTCTCATTTTGTTTTATGGACCTGTCTAATCTTTGGCTGAAGGGTAAACCTTGGGAGTGACTTCATTACTGAACTAAAAGGGTGTCTGGGGGTCATACTCTTGGGGTTTCTCCAGTCTCTGTCAGGCCAATGAGTCTGGTCTTTTTTTGTGAGTTAGAATTTTGCTCTACTTTTTTCTCCAGCTCTGTCCGTGACCCTCTGTTGTGATACCTGTCAGAGCAGTCAGTAGTGGTAGCCAGGCACTGTCTAGTTGTACTGGACTCAGCCTGGTGGAGGCTGTGGTAGTTATGGTCCATTAGTTGCAAGTAAAATTTTGCTGAAAATAATTCAAAAATGGCTGCATACTAATCTCAGATAAAACAGACTTTAAGGCAAAATCCACCATAAAAGGCAAGGGAGGACATTATATAATGATTAAAGGGACAATCCATCATGAAGACATAACCATAATAAATATCTATGCACCCAACGTCAGGGCTCCAAAATACATAAAACAAACTCTAACAGCACTGTAAAGAAAAATTGACAGTTCAACAATAAAAGTAGGAGTCTTCAACACACCAGTCTTGGTACAGGACAGAACATCTAGAAAGATACTCACCAAAGATACAGAGGATCTTAAGGCCACAATCAACCATTTTGACCTCACAGACATATATAGAACACTCCACCCAACAGCAGCAAAGTATACATTCTTTTCC